GATACATAAAATCAAGTAACAGAGACATTATTTGCTACAAATGCAATGAAGCAAGCCATTACAAAAGCGATTGTCCAAATCTACAAAAAAATGCCTAAAAAGAAGTTCTCCAAAGATAAGAAGAAAAGTCTTATGGCAACGTGGGATGACTCAGAATCTTCTGAAGCTGAAACAGAATCAGAAGATGAACGAGCTAATATATCCCAAATGGCCAACTTATCAGATGACTCTGGATCATCTGAATTAGAATTAGACTCAGAGACAGAAGAGGTATTCTCTAACTTTTCTAGATCTCAATTAGAAGAAAGTCTGTCAGAAATTCTTGAAAGATATCAGCAACTTCGAGTCATAAGCAAGAACCTGAAAAAGGATCTAGTTTCTGACTCTGAAGAAACTAAGAAACTGATATCAGAAAACTCTGAGCTTAAAGAAACAATTTCAAAACTAGAAAATAAATTATAAAATGCTCAGAAAGAAACTGTCTCAGAAGTTCCTAGTAACTCTGATAAGATCGTAAAGGAATATGATCATAACTTTAAAAAATTTCTTACTAAAAACATAGATAGAAGCAAGATGGCTTCAATGATCTATGGAGTTAGCAGAAATGGCAGAAAAGGAATAGGATACAAGGGTAAAGTATCTCAACGTAAGAAAGTTAGGGATATGGTCATAAAACAGACACCCATTTATTCTCACTACACCTATTGACATACACATGATATAAAATATACTAGTAAGACATTTTATGCTAAACCAAAATTCAAACAAAATTTTGGAAACTCTAACAATCATGGACCCAAAAAGATATGGGTACCAAAAGATAAAATCATTTATGTTGCAAATATTTTTAATAGCAAGGTTGAAACACCAGTTTTAACAACTGGACTCTGGATGTTCTCTATACATGACGGGAAGAAAGCATATGTTCCAAAGCCTGAAATTTAAATCTGGAGGATACGCAGGTTTCAGAGGAAATCAGAAAGGAAAGATTATTGACTCTGGAACTATTGGTAACAGTACTGAGGAGACATCATCAGAAGAATCTCAGTCAAATACAGAAGATGATTTCACAAACATTACAAAAACATCTGAAGATCCCATCCACAAAAGGCAACTTAGAAGATCTGAAAATTTGTTTTGCTTTTGCTCGGTGCTTCATCTTAATCTTCTATTTTTCCCACGTAGTTCCTACTTTTTAATTCTTGACAAAAATGGGGAGAATGTAAGATATTTTGACTCCTTCTCAAAGCTCTATTCAGAAATCTTCAGGGAGGTATTTTTTTCTTCATCTAAGTATCCAACTCAGGCGGAGACTTCTATGTTTTATGTTCTTTAAGTATTCTATCAAAATATACAAGTTTTTGTCATCATAAAAAAGAGGGAGATTGTTAGAACATAGTTTGGTTTTACATCCCTGTAAGAGTTTTGATGATAACAAACACATGATATATATATATATATATATATATATATATATATGCTCTCTAATAAAATATTTTAATATGAAGAGAAGTTTTGATATAGGAAGCATAGAAGATGAGAAGTTCTGATGTAGAACATAGTTTTTGTTCTACATCCCTAGAAGATAAGAGAGTTTCATTTTGAAGATTTGTTCAGACACAACATACTTAGAAGAAAATCCATGTAAAACACTAAATGAAGAAGTTCTATGTTACAACTTCTGAATACACCAACACTGTGAAACAAGAACTCTGATATTCTGATATGTAAATTTCTGGAAAGCAAAAAGAGTCTCAACAGTAACATTCATCTTCTGATGTGAGCATGTTCTGAAGCGTTACAGTTTAGTCATGGCAAATCAAAAGTAATAGTTGAATCAAGACATGATCTTCACTTTTAGAAATAACATTAACTACACTTAATCAACCTTCCAAAAACATCTTCTTATGTCTCTCATGCATTGCCTATTTAAAAAAGACGTGAAGAAGATATCAAAGATAATAACGACTGTGCATGAAAAAGAAAAACCATAACTATCAAGTTCTACCTTGTTCTCCTCTATTGTGTAATACATCACTTTAGTGATATTGTTTTTGTTAGAAAACATATTTATACACGCCTTTCAATATTGTATTTTGTAATTCCTTGAGGAAACTGGGTTATGGCTTAGACTCAAGAAGACATTGACAGTTGTCATTGTATTTGTGTAATCAAGTTTGATTAGTGGATTAAGACCTCACTTGAGAGAGGCGAAATCACCTTGGCGGGTGGACTGGAGTAGTTTGAGTTCAAACGAACCAGGATAACCAACGTGTCTTTTGTGTTAAGTTTTAAACCCCAATTCACCCCCCCCCCCCCCCTTTCTTGTGTTTTTCCATTCTTCAAGTTATTTAGTATTGCTTCTTGTATATGTTGTGCTCCCTGTAGGTAAGTATCAAATACAACTGGTTGGCCATAATTATTTTGGTGCTTCATCTTTACGTAGACTAGGGAAGCTACAACATCTAGGGTTGCAAAAAATGGTTGACTCAGAATTTCATTTGAAACATTATCACATGGAACCTCAAAGAAACAAACGTTCACGATCCTCTTGTTATTCCTCTCTACCAAGGAGACTGATAAGTACACTTGTCCACATAGACGAGTAAAAGGATCATTGAATGTCATAAGGCTTTAGCCTTTGCACGACCTCAACTATTGCTTTCTCAAGCCTAACTCGAGGAAGATTCTATAATAGATCAGCTTGCAGGAACTTTTGACATATATGAGGATCTCTGAGACTTAGTGATTAGAGATAGTAATGGTAATGATCAGGGAAAGTGTTAATTTTGAGTCTCATCCACCTTCTCATGGTCCTAAAATCCTAGGATTCGTCTATTTTCTTTCTTCTTCTCATTTGGATAGGTTAATTTAATAGATCCTTGCGGTTGAGATCCTACCCGCCTCAAGAGATCTCCATCAATCGTGTCTATGGCAAAGGCTTAAGAAGATCTTGATCTGGAGGATTTGAAAGGATCTTTTGGAAGAAGATTCGAATCTACTTCCATATTAGTGTTTTCGTCAAAGTAATTGAGGTTTGAATTAGATATCTAACTGAATCAGGAGAGATCTGGTGTCTCATGAGCTTCTTCGCTTCTTTCTTCGAGGATAAAGACCATTGATAGAGAGTTATTTAATATTGCTTCGTGTATATGGTGTGCTCCCTGTAGGTAAGTATCGAATACAACTGGTTGGCCATAATCATTTTGGTACTTCATCTTTAGATAGACTATGGAAGCTATAACATCTAGGGTTGCAAAAAATGGTCGACTCAGAATTTCGTTTGAAACATTATCACATGGAAACTCAAAGAAACAAACGTTCACGATCCTCTTGTTATTCCTCTCTACCAAGGAGACTGATAAGTACACTTGTCCACACAAACAAGTAAAAGGATCACTGAATGTCATGAGGCTTTAGCCTTTGCACGACCTCGACTATTGCTTTCTCAAGCCTAACTCGGGGAAGATTCTATAATAGATCAGGTTGCAGGAACTTTTGACATATATGAGGATCTCTAAGACTTAGTGATTAGCGATAGTAATCGTAATGATCGGGGAAAATGTTAATTTTGAGTCTCATCCACCTTCTCATGGTCCTAAAATCCTAGGATTCGTCTATTTTCTTTCTTCTTCTCATTTGGACAGGTTAATTTAATAGATCCTTGTGGTTGAGATCCTACTCGCCTCAAGAGATCTCCATTATCATGTCTATGGCAAAGGCTTAAGAAGATCTTGACCTGGAGGATTTGAAAGGATCTTTTGGAAGAAGATTCTAAACTACTTCCATATTAGCGTTTTCGTCAAAGTAATTGAGGTTTGAATTAGATATCTAATTGAATCAGGAGAGATCTGATTGTGGAAATTTGTAGGAATCATAAGTTGATTCCTAGAAACGACATCAATGCTTCATTCTGGAACCATGATTGTTTATGCATGCTCTTCATGCAGTGGTGCATGCCACCCCAGTGCAATTGCATGTGGTAGACTTGCAAAATTTGCACCCCAACGCCCAAGTCAGTCCTTGAATAAAAGGGATAGAGTGAGTAATGAATAAAACATTCATTTTTATGGTTCATGATGTTGTATATATGCAATGAGCGATAGTTGCACGTATGTCGTATTAGGCCTGTGGCAAGCCTAGAACACTTGGGCGCTCATATCTTGATTTCGTTGATTGTAAATTGGATTAAAAAATAACAACATTACGTGTCATTCTTGGCATGGGAAGAAACAAGACAGTGTCGCATTATTCACAATGGATGCAGACTATGTCGTTGCAGGCAGTTGTTATGCATAGGTAATCTAAATGAAACAATTGTTAAGTGATTATGAAATTGATCTAAGAACTTCCTCCGCTTAAGTACGACAACACTAGAGCCATAAACTTCATTAAGAATTCAGTACTTCACTCTCGAACGAAAAACATTAAGATTGTATATCATTTTATTAGAAATCACGTCAAAAAAAGGGATTGAATAATTGATTTTATGTTTTCATCTAATCAATTGACATACATTTTTATCAAACTATTTTTTAAATAAAATTTCTTTTCCATAAGAAATGAGTTAGGAATTTTAAACCAACACGTTGATTAAATTTATATATGTCCTTCTTCTCCATGTTCTCTATGTGAAATATGTGTTGTATATCTATTTTTGGGTTTTTCCCTTCTTTCTAATTGTTCGTTGAGATAACAACTATTATAGTGATGCCTTTGCACTCCAATTTTGGTGTAAAAAAACTATATAGTGAATATTAAAAAAGACATATATTTCCTTTTTAAAATCTTATATATAAACTATACTTTAGTGTTACAACTTCACTAAAAATAATTACAGAATGTCTTCTTGAGATCTAGGACTTTTTGCCTAATTTGGGAAATAAAATTTAAACACAAGATCAAAACTTCCTAACCTCAATATTATGTTCTAAGTACAAACCTTTTGTTGTATGCTTCTAAAAGTTTTCACAAACCATTCAATTTGGCACACAAAGCCTTCATCTCACTGACAATATATTAGTGAGAGATGGATTTTCATAGAAAGTGTCATCATCATCAGTATGTGATGAGAGCGTCATAAGAGCAACAACTAAAGATCTCATACTTGGTCGTAGCAGTGGATTGTCTCTTGTACATGCTCTCCCAAGTTCAGCCATCTGCAATTCAAACATTCACCACACCTTAAGAAAATCTAGTACCAAAAATTTTGAGCTTAGTAACTCTCACTCATTTTGAAAATAACTTTTACATATATACTTTCAATTGTATTTCACTACTTTATCACATCATAAATTTCAAATTTTCTTCGGAGAGAAATGATTCCAACCTTTAAAACAGAATCAATTGGATAGTTTTCTTTAAGCCTAGGATCCACCAGTTTGCGAAGACCCTCTAAAGGATCAATTTGATTAAGTGCTTCTTCAAACTGCAGTACAAAACAAGTCAAGGGTAACTTCATAGCAACTAGGCAACTAAAATTTGACTGTGAAAAAACTTTAATTGAGAGTTTTATAAGTATAAATAATATGGTTGGATAAAAGGGTATCTTGATTTTAAACATACCAAGGCTACAAGACCCTTTGATTCAACAGCAGATTCACATGTCTTCAGAACAGCATTCTTTGCAGAAATTAGTTCATAAAGAACAACTCCAAAAGCATATACATCTATTTTTGGAGAAACATCGCCATATTGAGCATATCTGCAAAACAATTCAGCTAGTTAATAAACCAAGAGGTTTGATTTTACTAATTAATCATGCAAAAACCGTGCGCTTGAAATGTAATATAAAGAGAAACAAATCATACTCTGGTGGCATGTATCCAAAAGTTCCAACAAGACGAGTGTGAAGTGTGGAGTTTCCAACTTCAATAAGTTTGGTCAAGCCAAAATCTGCAACCTGAGTTTAAAACCATTCATACTTTAATCAATCTCAACGGATAAAGGAAAATTTGGAAAGAAGATTGTTTAGATTGGTTGTAATGCAACCTTTCCGTGCAAGTTTTGTCTATTAATATATTTGCTGATTTTACATCACGATGGATATACACAGGTACGGTGTGTTCATGAATGTATTCCAGGCCTCTTGCGGAATCTAGAGCAATTTGCACCCTACTTGACCATGGTAATGGTGCTTTATCTGGAATCATATCGCCCGTCGTTAATAAATGTTTGACAATTTTGTAAGATTGCAAAAAAAAAACACTTTTTGTTGTTGATCTTACCTAAACCGTGCAAATATTGACCCAAGTTTCCATTGTCAATATGTTCATATACAAGGAAAAGTGATCCCTCCACACAATATCCAATCAACCTTACCTATGTTCATTAAAATGTAGGTAAGTTCAGAACAAGATTTATAACATACTTCAAACATTTTATGCAAAATGCAACAGAAAATGATGATTTTCAAGCCATGCATAAAAATGATTGGCTATCCTTCCCAAGAGTATTATCATATATGGCTTAAGATGTTGAAGGATATTATACCAGATTCAAGTGATGAACATGTGTTAAGACTTGCAACTCGCAAAGAAATTCTGTTGAAGCTTGTACATCCATCTTCTTAATTGCTGTTTTCCTGCATAGAAGAAATTGCATGAGAGGAAATTCAACTTGAAAAAGTGAAAAAGTGGTTATTCTATGTGAAGAGAGAAACGGGGGACTTTCCAATTCACCCTTATAGTGTCTTTAATTTAAAAAAGAAAAGCAAGTCCTCTCCTCCCCTCATCTTTAAAGCCCAACTCACAAACAAAGCCTAAAGATATAGATGCAGTTACATACCTCGCTCTGAGTACTGCATAATAGACAGCTCCAAATCCACCTTGACCAATTTTATGATCCAAGCTGAAGTTATTTGTAGCCTTTGCTAGTTCTTGATATGAAAATTCTGTTGACTTTGCCACCATAATTCCTGTAAGCCCAGCAGTACTACCAGTACCATGACCACTGGATCCCGACGTTTCATACTCTCCACTGCCGAGGCACCACCGGGATCAGAAACAAAAATCAGCATGCATAGAATATTTCTATAATCAAAACGGAAATATCATTAAACTGTTTTCATATATGTAGTAAGTTGTTTCCATAAACTATCATCGAAAGCTTATATCATAAGATAAGTTCATATAAATATAACAAGAAATTCAATTAGAATATGAATACAAAAGTATACCATTACCATCTTGAGCTGAAAGCGCCATAGAAATTTGTGGGAGTTTAGCTTTCTCTTCCTTGTTTTGGAAGTATTTGACATATATAGAGATAACAAATAACAGAAGCACGAACATTCCAGCTATAGATATACCAGCTGCTGCCCCCTTACCAAGACCTGCTTATATAGAACCAAATTAATCTCACAACAAGCAATGCCCGACCTTTATTGCATTCTCTTTATTTTTGGAACAAGGGTCAAGCTAAAATTAATCATCGTAATACAAAGTTAGGAGGCCAAACCTGTTCTGCAAGAGGGAAAAAATGAAAGTCAGAAGGATAGAAAAAAAAATTGGAGCATTCAACATGATAAGTGAGACAATCAAAGTTACCTACCTAGGATATAAAGGAAGATATTCTCCATTATCTGCAAAAATGAAAATAAATAAACTTTAAGCAAAGCCATTACAATTAATACCATATATATATTCTTTGAAGAAGGAAAACATACATACCTCTTCCTGGAAAGAACACTATCCCGCTGCCTTTGCTGAAATTGACCCCCAAATTGTAACTCTGTATCACACCTTCATCAAGTTTAGAATGGCTTGCAATCTTCTCTAGAGAATCCCTAGGCCTGAGTGGATAGGTAACAAACAACCCATAGTCTTTTGAAATCTGACCTATTCCCACAAGAACAATTCACAGTGACATTAACCTTAGCCTTAGCAGGTACATGATTTGGATCATATGTGTTGTACTTTTTCAAAACCTCGACAGTTGTTAAACTTGCATAATAGGTATTTGCGATTAAATCATAAGTATCTCCTTCATTGCTGTGTATTCAAACACATGCCCAAGAAATTCACCTCCCATACATTCACATGGGAATGGAATGTTGATTCTAGAATAGGAAAAAAGATTATCATTACTTAATACTATATCTCTATTGTATCTGATTATAGCCTCGGGAGAATCAGTAACAATCTTTGATTGCATAAAGGTTGTTATATTTGAGAGTTCAACTAAAGGCATGACATAGAGGAAAGCTAAAGCTACATCACACCCTTTCACACACTTGGATTCCACTTTGAGAAAAATACAATCCACAAACATAAAGAACAATAATAACCCATTTTTGAGTTTCATTGAATCAATGAAGGAAAGAAAGAAAATCATAAAATGGCTGCTGAAAAAAAGCAAGAAGCAGAAAAAGAAATTAACTCAATCAGCAACAAAGGATTAATATGTAGTACAAAATTTATTTCTTGAAAATAATGTCACATTTCCTAGCTTTTCTATTCAATAGACACTGTTGATATTTTATAAATGGAAAATGAGCCTAATTCAACTCTCAATTTGTTATGCACACGTTTTTGCTCTTATATGTGATCAGAACAGACATGCATGATTGGATACGTTTTGACTGTTTGAAAATGAATGTGGAGGGAACATAGTGACTGTTGGCTACAAATAAGAGTTGACATGTCATTAACTCATTCATTTACTCAAAATGTCAATGCATGAATGTTCCTATAACAAAAATACCTAGTATATGAAAAAATATATGTAAAAACTAAAGAGTATTCTAAGGACACTTTGTACCCAAGTTTTCACTTTCAGTCATGTAAAAGTTGTTTGATTTTCGCATGTCAAATATAGGGGGAAAAATGTTTTTAATGCTTGTTTTGTTATAGACTTGGTTATTTTTTCTCTGTTTGACATTAATTATTGGTTAAAATGCATTTTTGGCAATCAATTTTCACAATCCTGCGATTTTAGCGGCCCATTTTTTAAAATATTAATTTTAGCCTCATAATTTTATTTCCAATTTCAAAAGTGAAAACTATTTTACACGAACACGGAAATACAACATGGACACTTTGACATAATGTCAAAAACATATGATAGTTTTAATCAAAATTATTGTCTTTAATTTTTCATTGATGATATTATTTTAGTATATGTTTAACCCTTTTAAATGTGTGTAAATGTGTGTGAACTTGTCTTAAAAAATATATAAGGGTTTTTAAATGTGTGAAACTTGTCTTAAAAAATATATAAATTTTTTAAATGCATGAAACTTGTCTTAAAAAATGTATAAGGGAGCGATGAAGCAAAGAAAAAAACAAATGATTTTTAAATATTTATCTAAATTATTCGACATTGTACAAGTGTTAAACGTGTGTTGGACACCAATTTATAGAGTGTCGAAGCATAAAAAATAAATAATTTATTTAAGGATATTTATCTGATTTTTCTATATGTGTCGTATATATATCATATAAGTGTCAGACACGATGTGTGTCAGACAACGCGACACATCTATCCCTAAAGGTATCCATACTTCATAGTTTTTTAAGCACTCTAAGGTATTTAATGGTAAGTTTGGATTTATTCTCTCTATTTTTAT